GAAAGCCCTCTTCACACGCAGTGGGACCCTGGCCCCTGTCTTCCTGCCTCCCCCGCACACCGTACTTGCTCTCTGCCCCAAGAAGCCACGTCTTCCAGTTCCTCCTTCCTTTGAGAAGGGGCCAGTTCTCCAAGCCCACGCCCCCTCCCCACAGGCATCAAACTGGACTTCAAGAGCCTCAAGGCCGTGGGCCCCTCCCTGGACCTCCTGCGGCGGCTGACAGAGGACGGGAGAGTCCGGAGGCCTGTGTGGATCAACGCCGACATCCTGAGGGGCCCCAATGTGCCCATCTCAGTCGAGGTCAATGCCACGCGGTGAGCGTTCACCTCTCCGCCCCAGCTGTGTGCAGCTCTCTTCTTTCCACATCTGGCACAGGAAGTGCTCAGGGGACCTTTGCTGAGTTTGCTTCAAGCCACACCACGTAATCTAACCTCTGAGCCTTTGCACATGCTGTTCCCTCTGCCTCGAATGCCTTTCTCCCATTTCCTGGTGAACCCTCGCCCTGTCATTACCTCCTCCAGAAACCTCCCTGACACCCCAGGCTGCTGAGGGACTTCCTCTGGGGCCCTCAGTACCGACACCTCCTTCTAACAGCCCTGATTTCATTGGGTTGTCATTGTCGGAGTACAGGTCTGTCATGCCTACTACACTGGGAATTCCCGGACAGCAGACGGGCCCAGTGACCAGGGCAGGGCTGGGCCTGCTAGAAGAGTCTAAAGCGCTGAGCCTTCCCCAGCCTCTCTGAAACCCAGCACCGCCACTAGCAGCCCTCACACACACCCACCGCATGGTGCTTGACAGTTTGCAAAGAAGGGCCACGTAACAGAGAGAATGTGTCTGATTGGATCCTTACATGGCAACACCAGGTTAGAAGTGCCTGCCCCCATTTTGCAGCTGAGAAAACTGACAACTGAGGCTCAGTCTGTTGAATGTTTATCGCGCGTCCCAGGCACCGTCTTGCACACTTTAGTTGTAGAATACCACTAACTCTTACGATGAGCATGAGGTGGGTACTATTACCTTCATACTTCTAATACGGGAACTATCTCATCAAAGTTGAATGACCCACCCAAGTCTAATAATCGGCAGAGCAAAGATTCAAAGCCAGGCCTCTCCGATTCTAAGCCCCACGCTCTTTACCATCCATCCATCTGTCCAGCCAACCAGCCGACAGTGCAGCCAGCCAATATTTGTTGTGATTCTCAAATTGAGGGGCATTTGGAGAGCAGCAGTGTGAAAAATGTAGTCAGTGGCCCAAGATAAATATGGTTTGTCTTCTTGGACTACTGATTTCACCCAACAGTTTGGGGACGAGGAGAGGGTAACATCATTTGCCTACTAAAATTTGCATGAAATTTAAAAATAAAACCTGAAGCTTCAGAGGCTCGCAGCTGGCAAGGCCCAGACCCCACCCCTGGCCCTGGCTTGCGTCTCCTCTGCCCATAGGGGGATGTTTAAGAAGCGCCGTCTCGCCAGAAGGGATCTTTGAGAATCAGAGGTTGAAGGGCTGCCAGGGTCACAGTCAGGACCTGAACCCAGGCCTCCCCGACTCCAAGTCCGTGCCCTATTTGTGGGACCTTGAACAAGCCACTTCTGCTCTTTAGGTCTCTGCTTATATCACATTCAACGGGCCCTGCCACTTCCCAGCACTGTGATGGGGACCCAGGAGGTGAGGGAGGGGCCAGCGAGCCTCTCAGAGTCCAGCGTCTCTGATTCTCTGCAGGTTCCTGGCCTTGGTTCAGGAGAAGTATCCTGAGGCCACCCTGTCTCCGGGCTGGACCACTCTCTACGAGCCCCTGCTCCCAAGCGGGACATACACCCGAGCCATGGTGGAGGAGATGCAGGGGCTGGTGGGAGTGCTGCCGCAGAGGGTCACCTTCCCCGTGCGGGCTGTCATGGCGCGGGCTGCCTGGCCCCACTTCAGCTGGCTGCTGGGCCAATCTGAGAGGTGAAAACGCCCAGGCCCCTGCCACTGACCCTGCTCCCTCCAAACCCACTTCCAGGCACTAATGCCCCTGGGAGGACCTCAGATGCTCACAGCTGGGAGGGGCTTAAAGATCACCTGGTCCGACCCCCTTTAGTGCTCACATCAGCTACAATGTCCCTGCTTTCTGCCTGTATGCCTCTAGTGGCGGGCAGCTCACTACCACCTGAGGTAGCCCATCCATTGGTGGCTGACTCCCTGCCTGTTGGAAAGTGTTTGTACTGAGACACAATTTGCCTCCCCATGGCTTCCTCCCATGGGAGCCAGCTGTGCCCCTGGGGCTACATAGATTGCACCTGCAGCCCCGCCCCAGGATGGCTCTGTAGGGGCTGAGGAACCCCCGTCCCAGGCCTGCAGTCTGCCCATCACCACTTCCTCAGCCTCCCCACAGGAGTCCAGAGGCTGCCCCTTCCCCTCTTCATACTTGACATCTACCCCACCGCGTGCCCATCCCTTCTGTCCTTGTCACTTTCCTAAGTCAGGACCCTGAATTAGATCCCAGTGAGGAGGCAGGGCACGCCATCCTCCCTCCCTCTCAGCCTCTGCTTGCAGTCAGCCTCCTGAAGCCCCTGTGGCTTCTTCCGCCCTCAGGAAGGGGGCAGTGCTCAGGGAGAAGGGCCTCCGCCCCTGCCCAGCTAGGGTCCAGTTCTGAGCACAGGGTGGGGCTGAGGGCTTTGCTGGGCCCTGGCAAGTGCTGAGCTGTCTCTCTGGGTCCCAGGTACAGCCTGACACTGTGGCAGGGTGCCTCGGACCCCGTGTCAGTGGACGATCTCCTCTACATCCGGGACAACAGCGCCACCCACCAAGTCTATTATGACCTCTTCGAGCCTGTCCTGTCGCAGTTCAAGCAGCTCGCGGGTAGGGAGGGATCTGGGAAGGGTGGAGAAGGGCAGTGGGCTGGATTCTGCAAGGGCAGCACTTGGACACGAGCAGAGCTGGCAGGGCGGGGCATCGGGAGGTGAAAATGCTGGGTGGAATAGGAGGAAGGAGCCATTTTAAGCACCTATTGTGTGCCAGACCCTGGTACGGTATGCTACCCAGCTTCATAAATCCACGAAACAGGGATTCGATTTTATATATATATAATATATCCCCTACGTATGTTATATATATAGGGGATATATTCAGGGATAGGGAAAGTGAGGTCCAGAACAGTTAAGTGTTTATACAAAGCCATTCAGCTCGTGTGCGACACAGCTCACGCTGGAACCCAGCCAGTTCCAAAGCCCGTCCACTGCCCCTCGCAGTGCGTTCCTCTGCGGTTTGCTCAGAGAGCGGCCCCAACACCGCACCTGCTAATCCACGCTGCAGACGCTCCCTGCTCCCTGCCCAAAGCCCTCATTCCCTTGTCTGCAAACCTAGGAGGCCTGCAGTTAAGCCGCCTCAAAGGGGATGCGTCAGACTCCGCGCTCCTGCCTTGGGAGCCATCTAGGTGAGGGGAGGAACACCAGCTTTGGGACCGAGGGACCCGGCTCCATCAGGTTCCAATCCCAGCAACTCTGCTTATTGGCTGTAGGACCTTGGGCGGGTCACTTCTTATAGCCTATGACGCGGGAGTTAGAGCTACCTGGCAGCTTGCTGTGAGGCTTAGAAAGAATGCATGGAGAGCCGTGCACACAGACGGCGCCCCATGAATGGGGACCACTTCATCCTGGCACTTTGGGGGCCCACAGTGAACACCACAAGGAAGAGAAGCTACTACACCGGGGGCAGCCTGGTCCCTCTGCTCCAGCTTCCCAGGGGGGATGGTCTGAGCGTGGAGTGGCTGGTTCCTGAAGTCCAGGGCAAGGGAAGAACGGCAACAGTTCAAGTCCCAGGTAAGGTCTGCCTGCAGCCCCGGGGCTCCAGGCTAAACTGCAGGGCTTCCTTTGCTCGGGTCTCTGTTACCACGGGAACAGGCTGGCCACGAGGAAGGGGAGGACAAAGCGTCAAGAGCATGGGGCTCCCGGCCTTCGCCCTGGAGTCCTCAGCCATATGGTGCTGCAGGAGTGGGGGCACAGGCCCCAGGGCTCAGTCACAGGCAAGGCCAAGAGCTGAGCTAGCGGCTTATCATGGAGTGTGATGAGTCCCAGGCACATTTATAAAGCAGCCTTCTATGTGGAGCCCAGACCCAGTTGACAGATCCCAGACAGACCTTGCCCCAGCTCCTCCCCCTTGGCTGCTCCCATCACCATGCCACCTTCTCTGGAACAAGGGCCTCTAACACCCCCATGCTCACCTGAACCTGACACTGTTGCCTCCACTCCCTCTTCCAGACAGAGAAGGCATGATCCTGCTGAACATTGGCCTCCGGGGGCCTGCAGCTGGGGACCCTGTGCCTATCGTACGTGTTCCAGGTGGCCCTGCCCTGACACTGGAGTCCTGCCTGCTGCAGCTTGCCACACACCCTGGACGCTGGGGCATCCATTTGCACATAGCAGAACCCACAGCCCTCCGGCCATCCCTGGCCATGCTGGCCCACCTCTCCACCCTTGGCCACCTGCCTTGGCCTGTGTGGGTTGGGGCCACAGTCTCCCACGGGAGTTTTGTTGTCCCTGGTCACGTGGCTGGCAGGGAGTTGCTTACAGCTGTGGCCGAGGTTTTCCCCCACGTGACAGTGGCCCCAGGCTGGCCTGAGGAGGTGCTGGGCAGTGGCTACAGGGAACAGCTGCTCACGGATATGCTGGAGTTGTGCCAGGGCCTCTGGCAACCTGTGTCCTTCCAGCTGCAGGCTGGGCCGCTGGGCTGGAGCAGGGCTGCAGCTGTGGCCAGGCTGCTGGCAGCCTCCGCCCGGGCCACCGTAACGGTGGAGCACAGCCCTGCAGGGGGCAACTATGCATCTGTGCGGGCAGTGCTGCTGGCAGCCAGGGCTGTGGACAGGACCCGCGTCTACTACAGGCTGCCCCAGAGCTACCGTGAAGACCTGCTGGCAGATGTTGGCAGAAACTGACCACCTTGTGGTGCTGAGCTGGCGGACCCCTGGGTCAAGGCTTCCCACGGGGAGGCAGGAAGGAATAAATGCCTCTATCTTCCTCAATGCACTGCACATGTGTCCTTGGGGGCAGGATGGAGTGGGAGTGGGCGTGAGGTGGCCACTGAGGGTGCCTAGAGGGTCTGGAGGCTGGGGGCCAGATCGTTCCGGTTGTCCAAGAGGAACTGCTCACAAGCCTTGAAGGTGGTGTAGAACTCCGAGGAGAGGCCGGCCACGTTGGTGGTCACGTAGTTGAGAAAGCCCGGGGTGGCCTGGTTGTAGTAGGACACCTGCAGGAGACGAAGCCACGCTCAGGGGCGGGGCGTGCTGAGTGGGCACCTGCTGGGAGGCAGCAAGCGCGAGCCAGCACTGGGGCCTTCGAAGGCTGCATGCCTGGCAGGCTGACCTCCTCCAGCAGCTTTCCTGACCCCTCCTCCTCTGGGTGCTGACAGCCTGGCTTCCATCTGTCACCACACACTGTACTGTCATCGTGCGTCTCTCCTGCCAGCTGGGAGGCCCTGTAGGACAGGGACTGGGTCCCCAGAGCTCAGCATGGAATCCCATTTAAATGAAGGGACTCTAGGGCCATAGAAACAAGTTAGAAATAAGCCCAGGGGTCGTTCTGAGAAGCTCATCTGTTTATGCATTAAAGTTGTCAAATGCAGGCTGAGCACCCCGCTTGGGGAGGCGCAGGGCCCTGAGGGCAGCCGGGCAGCGAATGGGGAGCTGCAGCACCCCCCAACCCCCGCTCACTCTCAGCTTCCTCCCCATGTTTGCAATGAACACTGACTGCCCCGCTGAGTTTTATGGGCCCTGGAAGCCATCTTAAGCCTTCCTAGACAGAAGTTTATATCCATAAATAAACAAGGAGGCGAATTTTAGATCAGAACCCAGGCCCTCTGCCTTCAGCATCCAGAGCTTCTTCCCAGACCGCAGTGGCCTCAGACTTCTCTCTGCACAGATTAGACCCTAAGGAAGGTTCATTTCAGCCCCTGACACTCTTAGGCGCTCCCAAGCTGGAAGAGGGAGCCAGCTGGTGGGTGGGGGGCCCAGGTCTGGAATTGTCTGAGCCGTACAGCTCTGGACACACGCGTGGCCTTGGGGCGGATCCAGGTGGAAGCGGGAGAGGAGACACTGGGCCTCACCTTGGTCAACTGGTCCCCCTCTCTCCAGAAGCAGAAGCCCGAGCAGATGGTCTCCCCACGCCTGTACTCCGGGGTCTCACGGTGCGTGGGCAGCGTGACTGACCTCAGAGCGATGACATAGGGGTCCCTGGAGAGGAGGAAGGGCAGGGAGGGGGCACAGAAAGAGAAAGTGAGGCCTATTTGACACTGACCCAGGCTCTGGAGCCCCCCTGGCACTGAGGCCCTCGCCAGAGTCTAGGACACACAAACTCAAAGGCTCCCGGCCGGCTGGAGAGAGGAGGCGCCTGTGGGTTAGCGGCACTGAATGAGCCAAGAACCAGCGTGACTTCACTGCAGGTTTTCTGGAAAAGCCCCTCTACTGCCGACGCCCAGGGAGGAGCCGTGTGCTTTGGGATGTTCGTGCTTCATCTTTCTGTGCCTGTCTCTGGAGGAAGTGATGCCATCCGTGCTGGCATCCTCACCATGGCACAGCGGGCAGACTTGCCACCCTCCAGTCAACACGGGGCTTCCAAAGGATGGAGGCCAAGGAGGTAGCCATGTGAGCAACAGCCTGTTCACAGCCGGGGGTGAGGCAGCCTCGCCACCACAGGACAGAGACCATCCTGCCTTAGAGCACGGTGACCTTAGAGCACAGTGACCAGAGGGGAGGTGTGTCCCCTTGCCCCCCATTTTACCACAGCAGCCCAGAAAGGCCAAGTGGGGCCTGGGGTCCCATGGCCAACAGGAAGCAGACTTCTAACGCTAGGCTGATGTCCCCTCCTTGGGGAGGAAGGTGAGCCCTGCCCGCCTCCCACTCTAGCAGGCAGGCACCTACCCATTGTCACAAGGCTTCCGCCGAGAGGCCAGGACCACAAAGTCCTGGGGCTTGGTGTCACCACCGAGGGCGGGGCTAATGATGTGGTAGATGGCATCGTCCTCGTCCACCTGCTGCACCAGCTCCACGCTCCTGTGGGGAGGCCCAGAGCTCAGAGCCCAAGTTCTGGTTCTCTGCGCTGGTTCTCCGGTATAAGAACCGGTCTGGCCCAGGCCCACCCACGCTTCGGCCTCCCTGAGCAGATGCTTGGGGGACGCCTCACCCCTACACTGCCCTGCAGGGACCACGGGAAGGCCTGGCCAAGACAGACACACACACACACAGGAGCACACATAAACACATACACAGGCAAATGCACACCCCCCCCCCCAACACACACATCAGGGAACACACACACATATACACAAACAAATGCATGCACACACAGACACAAGAACAGACAGACACGTAAGGACACCTGCACACCTGTGGGCATACATGCACACAGGCACAGACACATGGAAGGACACCCACCAGTGTACACACAGATCCATGCCTATCTGTCCATGTCTGTGCTGGTGCACACGCCCCACGCACATGTGTGATTTAGTGTCATACTTGATACTTAGTGAGCACCTGCCATGTGCCAGGCGCTGTTCTAAGAGTCCACGTGTACTCTCACTTAATCCCACAAGAGCCCCTGCCGTAGGTACTCTGGGTATCCCCACGCCATAGATGAAGGGCTGAGACTCAGGGACATGCCCTGCCCATGGCCACAGAGCTAATAAGGAAGCAGGGCCGGGAGGCGCTCTGGCTGTCAGGTGCCAGAGCTCTGCCCCCTAGGCCCGGGCGGGAACACACACAGAGGCTTACACCAAAACACGTGTACACACAAGCGCCCCTCACAGAGACACGCATGACCATGTCCAGCCTGCTAGCCTCTCCTCACTCTCCTGCCCACCCTCGGGGCCGCCTCAGGAACAGGGCAGCTGTGGACAGGGTCGGGGGAAGAAGCTAGGGGCGCCGCTTTTCCTCAGGACACTCCCCCCAACCCATCAAGTATCAAGATCTGATCTAGCCTTCAAGGCCCACACCAGCCTGCCTCCTCCATGAAGCCTTCCTATCATACGCCCATCCCCTCCCCACAACATCGACCACTGAGTCACCTCTGGAAAAGCCCCTCTAGAACAGCACTGTCTGGGGTCACCTAGACCAGGGATCTTTAAAGAAACACAGCCCTTTTTGCAGAGAAACTCAGCAGAAAGCCCATGAGGAAATAGCTGCAAGCAGGCCTGCTCTGGTGGAGATAGATGGGGGTAGGGCGGGCAAGGCCAATTTGTCAAATGACCAGCTCGCTGGATTTCCAAATGCACAGCCACTCCTCATGCATATACTCAGGAATCCTAATAAGCCATCGGAGAAACCATCACAGAACCACCCCCTCAAAGCAGGGTGTCGGCATAACAGAAAATGACTTCAAAGAAAGAATTTGAAAAAACACCAGTTTCAACTTTAACATTTCCATGTTAAACACTGACATTTTGGCTATTTTCCTAAGAATGTACTTATCTTCCTCGACTAAATGTAAGAAGAAAATATTCACATGAAGAACCAGTAAATTGAGGGAACAAATGTATTTATAGGAATAACATATTTATATTCAGCAACTCAGTACATTAAAAAATAACAGATTCGTGTACACATCCCTAAGAAGACCCAGCAAACTCGGTAAAAGCAGCAAACTGGCCGTTCTCTGTTACCCTGAACCCGGGAGCAGGCCCAGCGCCCGTCGGCCTTGCCACACCGCTGCGGTCCCCAAGCCCACTCCGGGAACACAGAACTCCACAGAACACGGTCTGGACATCACTGATCTATCCCTGGGTGCAAATCCATGACCCACACCTCAAGTACCCATTTTAAGAGAAGGGAAACTGAGGCCTGGAAAGGAAGTGACTTGCTCAAGGTCACACAGTTAGTTGGGCCAGAAACAGGACTTAAACGCAGGCCTCCAACTCCAACCTGAGCCTCAGTCCCCTTCCTGGGGGCTCAGAACACCCTTGGCTCTGACCCCTCCTGACACATAACACAGCGCCCCCCACACCCAGGGAAAGGCCAGCAGGGCTGAGCACGATGGGGGATGGCTCAACAGGAGGAGACAGCTGAGGGCCCGCCCTACCCACCGGGCCTGAGCAGCGAGTGTACCTCGCAGGCGCCCCGCCTCACCGGCAGTGCTTGTCCCACTCAGGCCTCCGACACAGGTCCGACAGCAGCAGGAAGGCCTGGGTTGCGTCCACATGCACCAACATCTCCAAGTGGAAGGCGAGGAACTTGTCTTCCTCCAGAGTGTACAGGCGGATCTACATGGACACAGGGCAGCCGTGCTCCTGCACCCCCTCCCCAGACTGTGCGGGGTGGTGGGGTGGGCTGACTGAGGTGCTAGCGGCCGGGGCTGGAAGCTCAGGGCTGCCACTGACTTGCTGTGTGACTGTGAAAAAAGGACCCAACCTCTCTGAGCCTCGGTCGCATCCCCTGGAAAATGAGCTGTTGAGAGAATTCAGCCCAAGTGGACAGGAAGGTGTCTTAAGAAGCAGTGACTGAGGCAACAATGGAATGGATCCTCAGAGCCAGGAGTCCATTCAACTCCACAATGTCACAGGTGGGGAAGCGACTGGTCCCAGGGCACAGGCCAGACTGGCAGAGCTCAAGTCTTTCCTGGCCTCATCCCTGCAGTGGAGGAGGAAGGGCAGACGGGAGGAAGCAGCTGGGCTGAGAGCAGCAGCGAGGAGACCCTGGGCATGAAGGCGGGCCAGCAGGGAAGGAGGACGGGGTCCTCCACTCCGCGCCCGGTGGGGCAGGTATGCTGCTATCACTGGGCTGGTTTCATGATCTCATCAGATTCCTTTTAAGAAAGCCCCTTTGACGGGAGTGGTTTGAGAGAGTTTCTGCTGCTTGCAATCAGCCGCCTCTGGCTGCTCAGGGGAGAAAGGAAGCCTGGATGAGTGGGGCCAGCTACCTGGTTGGTCTCCGAGGACAGCACCCAGTCGTCCTTGGCCACCAGCATCTTCAGGGAGGAGACGTTGTTGTAGCTCAGGTACACCTGCACGGAGCGCACCGCAGACTCAGCTTCCTGCTCGGGCTCCGGCCGAGCCACGCTGGGGCAGGGAGAGGAGCGCGGACCGTGCAGGGCAGTGGCGCTATGGAAAGAGTCCCGGGCTGTGGGCAGGAGGCCCAGGCCTGACCAGGCTCATGGTGTGACCCTGCACAAGTCCTCTCTCCTCTCAGGGCCTCGGCTCCCTCTTGACACACAGGGACACGGGAAGGCCCTCGCCAACTGGCCCCGTCCTGAGGCACGGCATTGCATCCTGTCCCCTTCAGGCCGACTTCCAGACCCACTCAGACAGGAGGGGAGGCCCGAGGACTGTCCCCTTGAAGCAGAGGGCCTTACCTGATTGCTCGGGTCCCAGGGGACAGACAGGGGCATTTCAGCCTGCTTACAGGACACGATGTACTTCCTGGGAAGGAGGGAAGATGACAACCGTGGTACCTTGGAAGCCCATCTCTTTCGACAGACTTTACTCAGGCCTGCTGTGTGCCAGGCCCTGTGCTGAGCCCAGTGGGTGGGAGACCGATGGGCTCACCAAAAACAGCGGTGAGAAAAGACAAATACCGTCAGAGGCGGGGACAGCACGGAGGAAAGGGGCCGGTGAAGGCTCAGCGCCCCACCCCTGCTGAGCTGTCAACTCTGGCTACAGCAGCCTCACCCTGTGCCTCAGTGTCCTCATATGCAAAACGGGATCGGTGGTCACACCGCCTCACAGGGCTGTCACAGGGCACCCGGGAAATGCACACTTTCTCTCACTAACAGCGCTGGTGTCCCCGGCGCGTTGGCAGCATGGTCAAGCCCATGGAGAGCTTTCGCAGCGGCGGCGTTCACACCTGGCTTTGCGTCTCCTCTGAGGGCCTTTCTCTCTGCATCTACCAAGCGGGCATCAGAGTCGATGGAAGGCATAAGGTTTGCAACCGGCCAGACCTGGCCAGGTTCAAATGCTCAGTCTGCCGACCATTCCTATCTGCATGCCCGTGGATGCCTAATCCCTCTGTCCTCAGTGTCCTGGCCAGGACAGGGGGCCAGTAAGACCTCTGTGTGATGCAGCTGCATGGATGCAAAGGGCCCAGCCCAACGCCCAGCACAGGGGCGGCACTGAAGAAACGCAAGTCCCTGGGACCCGGGGAGCAGGGCGACAGCCCCGAGCCTGTGTCCACTCCCACTGCCCAGCCCCGCTTGCCTGTCCAGGCGGATCTTCTTCCTGGCACTGGCCTCTCGGTACCGCCGCTCGCCATCCTGCAGTGAGAAGCAGAGACAGACTGTGTTGCAGGAGGGACAACCAGTTTGCCCCCTGCCCCGCTTCCTGTCTGCCCCGCAAGGGCCCAAGGAGGCCCTGCAGCCCTAAAGGGGCGTTCAGGTCTCACTGGGGCAGCCGTGATGAAGGCAAGATGGACGGGAAAGTGCCAGGAACTGAGCTCCAGCCTGGCTTCCCCCAGACTGTCCGAGTGACTCTGGGAACACCACCTGGACTTCGGCTTCCTCCTCTGTGAAAGGGGATCCCCAAAGGGCACTTATGATGCTAGTAAGAGCCACATTCATTGGCCACTGCTCTGCCCAGGCACTCAACTGAAATGCTGTCCGTGTGCAACTTCATCGAAGCCTTACAACAACCCTCTGAGGCGGGTACTCATGTTGTCCCCATTTCAGAGGAGGAAACTGAGGCACAGAGAGGTTAAGGGGCTTGCCCACGGTCTCAGGGGTAAGGAGGAGAGTCAGGAACAGAACCAACAACCAAGTAGTGCCTCGGAGCCGCCCTCTTAACCGCTACTTCTAATGTCGCCGCCCTCGTGAGCATTAAATGGTGAAGGCCTGAAGGCACCTTGTGCACTGTGCACTGTACCCCTGTCTGCCAGGCTCCCCGCTCCTCCACCCACCGCCCACCCTTGACCGTCCGACACCCAGCTACAGGGCGAGAGGTTTGCACAGCCTATGCAGGCAGGGCGGGGACCTTCACAGAGAGAGGGCGACCTCTGCAAGGTCACTCCCTGGCCCCCAGAAGGCACAAGGGAGCATCTCCTGAGACAGCCTTTGAACCCAGGCCCGCCTCTCATGCCTGTGCTATTTGCTCTCCTGTCACCATCATCATGACACTCACCACAGACCCCACAGCCCCGAGAGGCAGGGACCGCAGACACGACCACTTTAGAGATGGGATGGAAGCTGGCAGAGGGCACGTGCTAGCGCATGGCAGAGGTGGGTTCCAGCCCACCTGCTTCCAACTCTGCAGGTTCAGAGCCCCTGCTACACCCAACTACGGGCCCGGCCCACACGCACTGACTGAGCTCTTACAGGCAGAACGAGGGGCCTGCCTGGCCCGAGGGGCATCTCCGGGGTCCACAGCAGGGCACTCAGAGCTGGCTGGGCCCCAGCAGAGGGGCAGGGCGGGGCCTCCCACCCCTGGGCGGGGAGGAGAGGGAGCTGGCAGTGGGACAGAGTGCTGCCCCCACTCACCCCCGGCTGTGGCCGAATCCAGGGCAGCGTCTGAGGCTGGTCGTCTGCGTCCAGGACGACAAAGGTCATGAAGGCGCTGTTGATGTGTCGCCGGTGGGTCTCAGCCTCTTGGCGGTAGGCCTCCACGCACACGCCCACCTCCATGCTGAGGGGACGACGGGGGTGGCTCTCATCGGGACAGACCTTCCCAGGCCACGCCCCCTCCCTAACACACACACACACACACGAATGTGCACACACACACGTGCACACACACACACTCCTGTGGTTCTTCCAGCAGCCCAGATCACTGGCAGGAAGGAACCCAGAACTGTCCCTGTCCTCAATGTTTAGAGAGACCTATGCGTGCCCGGCCCTGTGCTCACCACTGGGGCACAGAATGAATAAACCCCCTGGTCCACGCCCCCGTGGGCTGCAGCTGGGAGGCGGCGCCACCAGCACGTACAGGAAATCTGCAAGGGTGAACTGCAGAGGGCTGTGGAGGGAGAGGCGCCAGGAGGTGGAGTGCAGGCCCCATTAGAAAGACGCCCCGTACACATGCACCTCCAAGCGAGCGCGACAGCAGCGCTGACAGCACCCAGCAAGAACATCAACAACGGCGAGACTGAGACCCAGCACAGGGCAATGACTGCCCCAGGCCGCACATGGGCAGGAGGAGAATCCGGACTAGAAACCGGGCCTCACGCTCCCAGTGCAGGGCCTTTCCCTGCACGGCGGCAGACTATGCTGGCCAGACCTTGAATAATGATAATCACAACAATAACAGCAGGCAGCAATGGTGCATCACTAGACGTCTCCTCTGGCATTCCACAGCAACGCCTCACTGAATCCTCACAACTCTGAGGGAGTTGTAGCGAGTCCCCTTTTACAGGTGAAAGAACTGAGACTCAGAGAGGGTAAGTAACTTGCCCAAAGTCACACAGCTTGTTAAGCATTGAGCCAAACTTGAACCCAGGCAGCCTGGCTCCAGATCCCTCACTCTAATGACTACACCATCATTGAAAATCACCAAATATTTGAAATCACCAAAAAAGCTACATATTTAAAGTCAGCTTTCATGGAGGTATCAGGATTCATTCCAAGGGTCAGGGCTCTGGGGACTGTTTGTTTTAGGGAAAGGGTGGGAAAGGGTTTGATAAATGACAGCACCGGCAGGAGGTGGCACTGTGATGTGAGCACTCATAGTTCGGAGGCCAGAGGCAGAGCCAGGGAGAGAGATGAGACACGCTGAGCACGCAGTACCATCCGAGACAACGGGAGACCCAGGCAGGGGGCCCAGAAGAGGGGACACCCGAGTGGAATCTTGGTGCCAGTGAAGCAACCCAGCAGCCAGCAGGGTTCAGACCTCGTCTGCAGGGCAACGGGGTCCTGGCAGGATTGCAGCCAGGTCCCTTCTAGGGTCAGAGAGAGCCCTCGGCCCCAGGGGGCCCCAGCCCCACCCATCCCGGCCCCTCACCTATGCTTGAAGGTGTTGTTCACGATGGCCTTGAGCACCAGGCGGTCCCCAACCTGGGATGGGCCCCGGAAGTGGAACATCTCGATGGCCTTCAGTGTAGGGTGGGCACGGCACAGCCGGCTGGAGGAGGCCAGGGGTCGGGGGGACAGGAAATGCCCCCAGTGCTTCAGTCACAGACTTGGGCCAGCCTCCAACCCCTGCCCCATCCCGAGACCCAGCCTGAAACCACATCCACTGCCCTCTGGCCCACTCACTCCCACCCAACCCAGCGACAGGTCAGCCCAGAGGAACAGAACTAAAGCCCATCTCACAGCTTAGAATACTAAGGCCTGTGGAAAACAGCTGAGCCTGAGGTGACAGAAGAAAGCCTAGGGCAGGGCTTGGGGTAAACCCCTTCCCCATTTTCCTTCCAACCTTTACACCCTACCACCTGCTGTTCCTGCTACCTGGAAGCCCGCCCCTTACCCAAGGCTATTTGTCATTCAAGGCCCAGCTAAAGTGTTCCTCCTCCAGGAAGACTTCCCTGACTACCCGGGCTCTGACCCTTCTCTGAGGTCTTATCACACTCATAGCCCAGGCTGCCCAAAATGGCATTGCTTACGCACTGTGTCCCCATCTAAACACAGAGGAGGGGAGGAGGGGCCGTGTAAGGCGGGCTCTAAAGGGTGAGGAAGAAATTGCCTGGCCAAGGAGGGCGTGGGGGTGGGAAGGGCACTCCTGGCAGAGGGAACGGCAAGTACAAAGTCACAAGGGTATAAGAGTGTCAGTGAATGTCAGTTATCATAACCATAAAAATACCCCAATAATTAGGGTAGAACCAGCCTTGGGCAGGCACAGAAGTTACAGGAGAAGTTATAGGGATTAGTGTCACCTCTAGGAAGAAGGGAAGAGTCAGAGTGACTTCATGGAGGAGTGGGCAGGATCTTAGCAGAGAAAGAAGAGCGGGGTCGCATGGCGGAGGTCACACTAGGAATAGGTGCAGGAGCTGGGGACGTGCAGGATGGGAAGGGGAGCACAACCAGCTCGATCTGCAGGGAGCAGAAGATTCAGGAAGAGAGCAGGCAGGGCCGGGCCAAGGGGAGGCCTTAGTGCCAGGCCCAGGGCCTTGGCACTTCCCATGCAGGCAATGGCAACTAGGAGGGCTCTTGAAGTCGAGGAAGGAATGGCCAGCTCATAGAAGATCACTCCTCTCTGGTTCTCTGGGTTACCCACAACACAACAGCCAAGCTTCTGAAGCCTTGGAGGCCAACACCAAGCTGGGTTTCTCCCCCAGACGGAGATGGTCACGAGGAAGAGGGGAGAAGGTAGGGCAGGCAGGGGCCGCGCGCTCTCCCCTCACCTGGCTGCGATGGTGGCCACGTTCTCCATCCAGGCCATGATCTGGCCCCCGAAGGTGTTGCCCTGGTGGTTGGCGTGGGGGGGCAGGACCAGCTCCACGCTCTCTACCCGGGTCTTCTCGGCCGGCACCGTGTGGCTGCAGTCTCTGCTCTCCAGATCTAGCCAGGGAGGGGCAGAGGGAGGGAGGTGGCAAGGTGATAAGGTTCCCAAGGGCAGAGCCTCCCCACAAGCAGCCCGGACCCCCACCACCACCCCTGCCCCCACCCAGATTGTCTTATTTACTCAACCCCTCGTGTGCATGAGGCGTGGGCTGGCCCTGGATGAGGGACGGGAGGAGATGGGATGAGGGAGACGGGGCTCCTACAGAGCAGTGCACAGAGCACCAGCCTGGAGACAACACACAGCTGGGTCTGAACCTCAGCTCCACCCCACACAGCCTGTACGACGTTGGGCAAGTCAAGCAACCTCTCTGAACCTCAATTTCCTCCTCTCTGAAGGGCAGAGGTCAAACCTGACCCATTAGGACTGTGAAGATGAAATGCAATCGCAATTCTAGAGTGCGTGGTCCCCGGCTCAGTAAACACTCTCAGGAGGATCATTCTTCCCTCCCTGTGCCCTGACATGCCCTGTCCCTCGGAGGCAATGGCATTAGGCTATCCTCAGCAGCAGAGGCCAGAGGGTGGGCAGGGCCTTGGGGATGAAGGGAGCAGAGGCTGACATGCCCCACCCAAGCCAAGGAGATGCCATGCATCTCCCATCATGCAGGGACAAAGGTCTCGCCAGGGAGGCCCATCAAAGAGGCCACATTTCACCTGGTTTGCAGGCTGCTGGGAGACGCCACAGGCAGGGAGGAGGGGAGGTTGAGGGTGGCCTGAGCAAGGTCTGGAGAAACGACAGGAAGGACAGTCGCAGGGAGCAACACGGCCTTTGGCTCAGCTGGAGCAGAGGGCAAGAAATGCACAGACCAGAGGAGGCCGAGCGGTCAGCCCAGGGCCTAGATGCTAGGCAAAGGCATTTGGACTGACCCTTGAGTAGAAGGGCTGTCAGAACAGGAGGGACCTAGGAGGGCTGTGGTGGGATGGATGGTTCCGGGGTGCCTCAACGATGGTAGGAAGAGCCAGGCCCGCCCAGCCATGGCTCAGGCCGCATGTAAATAGGGCACGGAATTCAGAGCACAGCTCACCACTCTCACAGGGTCAGCTCCTTCCACCTGCTGTCTCCCCGCTTTGGGCAGCTGAACAACCTTCGAGTTGTCCTAAAATTGCCTCCCTTATGTTTCAAGGAAGACTCTGCATTCTGGAGATCAGTGTCCAAACCCAAGGCCCCCCCACGGGGCTGTGCCCAGCCTGCGGCCTCCGTCAGGGAGACCACCCGGGCCTGCACCCAGCCTGCACCCTCCGTCAGGGAGACCACGCCTCCTCTCCCCACCCATCAACAACCCAGCAGCCCACAGCAGATCCCCGTGTGCTGGTACAGGACATGCTCCATGATACACTTTTAAGGGGAAAAAAACAACATACAGAGCAGTGTGTATGATCCCTTTTTGGAAAAAGAGGGAGCTAAATAATACATAGTGTGCTTGAATATGCAGGGGTACTTCTGGAAAGATGCCCAGCGAGGAACAGTCGTACCTCTGGAGGAAGCCTGGGTTCCAGGGTAGGAGAGAGTCTTGCTTTTCATTCTGTCATCTCTATCTCTATCTCCATCCCCATATCTATCTATCTATCTATCTATCTATCTATCTATCATCTGCCTACCTACCAACCTATCCATATTCTTTTTAAAAAATCAATCTTCAAGGCCAAGCTCAATACTACCTTTTTAAACACCTTGAATCCTAGAGACTCAAATGCATTTGGTGGACAACAACGGATTTTCCATATGTCCTAACTCCACCTTCACGGCTCCTGAAAGCTGGGCAAGAGGCCCCAACACTCTCCTTTCCCTGAAGGAGACCTTGAGGCAAGAGGGCCAGCCAGGCCTGAGGCCACCAGTGGGTGGACCCAAGTCCCAAGGAAACTCCCTTCTTTCCTCTGCCCAGGGCGGGCCCAGGGCAAAGGGGGGCAAGCAGGATGCCAGCTGTCCTCCCCACCCATGGCCACTCACCGTCCTGAATGACACAGTTGGCCAGGAGGTCCTTGATGGTGTCTGCGTAGACCAGCCGCATGCGCCGGCGCTCGGCCGCCACGCTGTGCTCGGTCTTCTCCTCCTCCGTCCGGGGCGTGATCGGCTTCAGCTTCACCTGTGGGCAAGGGGTGAGGTGGAAGGTGCTCAGGCCAAGTTCCCTGAAATAGCACGAGGGTCTGTCCCCCAGCCACCACCTCACGCCTAGGGCTCTTGGTCACAAGCTTTCCCCTCTTTGACCCCATCTTCCTGTCTCCATGTTGACTGACACATGTTATTCACCCTCCAACTGTCCCCATTCTTCTTGGGCAAAGGCACAGTGGATGGCGGGCAGGGGGTGTCGCTGCAGGACACGAAAGGGAATGGTGAGATCTGAAGAATCCTCCCATGAGATGCACAGGGAGAGGGGGAAGCAGAGCGAGAAGGAGAGCGGGAAGGCGCCTGGGCTTCCATGGCAGTGGGATTCCCGCAGCCCCCACCTCCATGCCTCCACCAACCCCCAGAATCACCGCCCTGGTCCAGCCCTTCCATGACAGGTACCCAGGTGGCCCAGCAGCATTGAGCGGCCAGGTGTGGCCACCTACCCTGGAGAGCTCCCGGTGAGCCACAAAGGTGGCCAAGGCCTTGCACACGCTCCACTGCTTCTCAGAGCACAGGTCCTCGGAAGCCACCTGGATGCCCACCTGCAGGGGAAGAGTAAGGTAGAGGAGGGAAGAAATAGGGCTCACCAACCCAAGGCCCCACCGCGCAACGAGACAGCGGGTCCTGCCCAGGCCTGGCCTCTGGCACTCCTGTAGCACCCACCAAATCTAGGAAGACAGAGAGCTGGGGTGGGTTCTGGCTCTCCCCCTGGCTCCCTGGGAAACTTTGGGCAAGTCACTTCCCTTCTCTGGGCCTCGGTTTTCTCATTTGTAAAGTGAAATGATCATACCTCCCTCACAGCGTTATCGAGAAGGTTAAAAACAGACTGTTGATGAAAGGGGTTGAAGCAAGTAAGGTGCTCGCTAAACTAAAAGGACAGACACCTGGTGACCTGGTGACCTGGTGACCCGGGGCAAGTCCCTTCCTGGCCTCAGCTCTCCCTTCTGTGTTCTGGGTGCTGGACAGTTAGATCCAAGGGACTCTTGCAACCCCGCCAGCTGTCTCAGAACCTGCTGCCTCAGCCTGGGCTCCGTGCGTGTGCACACCCGGCTGGGGGCTGGGGGCTGAGAGCCCAGAGGAGGTGGAAACCCCGCCCGCCCACCCCACGGTGCTGCCCACACACCTCCATGCTGGAGTTGAAGGCCCGGTTCACCTTGGCCTTGATATTCACCACCTGGCCAACACTGAGGAGAGAGAGCAGGCGTGAGCCTTCCAGAGGGGAGGAGGGAGGGAACAGGGGCCTCAGACGCTGGCAGGGCGTCTGCTGAGGGGAAGTGGACGGAGAACATCACGGCTTAGAGAGCCACTCACATCTGTGATGTCACCGAGGCCTCAGAGCAGACAGCCTCGGCCCCACTTCACAGGCGGGAAAGCCGAGGCCGAGAGGAGGGGCGCGACTTCATTCACCTCCCCCGCTCCCCGCTCCCCCTTCCCATGAGTGCTCGAGTCTCCCTGTGATCTCAGCTCCACAGCCCCCTCCTCAGGGAAGCCCTCCCTGCCCTCTCGTGCCCCATAAGGTTCACCCTCCCGACACTTCTTCCAACAGACTGACCACTGTCTCCACACAATCCTTAAGCTCCACTGGGGCAAGGGGCACGTCTGTTTTGCTCACCGCTGACTCTTCAAGGCCTAGCACATGGCACAGGGTCGGTTCTCCATAAGAGTGGCCTACCGAATTAACGAATACCACACTTACTGAATGCCTACTAAGTGCAGGGGGCTATGAATAGAGGGTGGGAAGGGAAATGAAGACATTTAAAGAATGCCTACTATGTGCCAGGAACTGCACACTACCTCATCTGAGCCTCCAAACAAGCTTGGCAGGTAGTATAGGGGGACTGAGCATCAGAGAGGGTAGCCACTTGCCCATGGTCACCCAGCTAAAAAGTGACAGAGCCAGGATTCTGGACCGATTCTGTTGACTCCACTGGCCCCACTCTTTGCAGTCGCAGCCTGTCCCTCTGGAACGATGCCCACATCCAGGTGAACACTCAGAATCCCCGGGGAGCCACCTCGCCTGCCCTGTGTTGACTTCGCTTCCGTTCATGTTTTTAGCAGTTCTAACAGCCACGGAGGGGCCTGTCATTTCTAGGAGATGCATGCTGGTGTGTGGAGGGATGAGGTATTGTGACGTCTGCAAATTACTTTCAATGGAGAGAAAAGCATGTGCATTTGTTTATCCATATGCAGATAAAGCAAATTTAGGAAAACGCTAATTATTAAATCCAGTGGTGACGATCATTGCACTATTCAACTTTTCTATAATTTTGAAAGTTATCATGATAAAAACTTAGAAAAAAAACTTCCATGATCCTCCAAACAAAAATAAGTCTATTTCCTGTGGTGCTAAAAAATGAAAGAAAATTGTGACCCCCCCCACCCCCACCCCTTTCCGCTCTAACTTCCCCCAAAGCCAAGCAGACACCGGCTTGGACCCCTGAGCTGCTCTTCCTTCCTCACTGCCCTCCATCCCTCAGCTCAGGCCAAAACTGGCTCCTTCCCCAGGGTCACTGCCAGCCTCCTGGGGTCCCCTGAGCCCCAAGCGCCCCAGCACCCCTCCAGGTGTTCTCCACATCGCAGAGAGGCAGCTCCCATGAACAAGCCTGGCCCCTGCTCAGCCCCTTCCCCAGGACCAGTTTACTCTCAGGGGACAGAGGAGCATGTTAAATGACACCACAGTGATGCTAACAGCAAAACTCAAATGAGGGAGAACTCTGGAGGGCAAAACGCCCAGGTTTGCTCAACAAAGAAGTTTCAAGGAAAAAGAGAGTAAGAGAGATGGGGGTGGGGGGAGGATGCTGGGGGAGGTGTAGCATCTGCAGATTTAAAAAAAGACAAGAGACAGCAAGCAGTTGCAAGCTTATTTGCATCCTGACTTGAACAACAAAAATAACTATAAAGAAAAAGGAAATAAAAACGAATTCATGAGTCAGTGGGGCAACGAACGCTGACAGGATATTTAGTGAGAGATTATTGCTAATTTTGTTGAGGTGTGATAAGAGCATTGAGGTTATGTTTAAAAAGAGTTCTTACCCGTTAGGGATACATTTTGAAATATTTTTAAATGATGAGAGCAAAAACAAACAAAAAACCTTCCCCAGCTGGCCCTCCCTCCCAGGACCCTCTGGGCGTCCCCTTCCACCCACCCCCTCCTCTGCCCAGACGCACCTTCACTCTGCTGGGTCCCACGGCCGGTCCGTCCATCACACACACACACACACCCCACCCCAGCCCCGGCTAACCCTAGCTCCTCCAAGTGCCAGAACCTGTGTTGGCAGCAGAGACCCAGAGCTGGCCCAGACACAGCTCCACTGCCCTTCGAAGTGTCACTACATACAGTGCCCACAATACTGGAGCCAGCTCAAACACCTCCTCCAGGAAGCCCCCTTGACTACCCTCTGTGCCACTACACCCACCCCTAGACACACAGGCAATGGAGACCAGCAGTTAAGAGCAAGAGCTCTGGGGCCACACTGCCTGGCTGGTGGTACAGCCTGGCTCCTCCACTAGCTGTACAGCCCTAGGCAAGTTACTTCACTTCTCTGGGCCTCAGTCTTCTCCACTGTAAAATGAAGACACTAATGGCCAGGACCTCAGAGGGTGTTCTGAGGATTAAAAAAGTTTATGTATTAAAAAGGCCCTACAAATAATGTATCAGTATCAGTTCATTAACTGCAACACAGTACCGTACAGTACCGTACGAATGTAAGCTGTTTATAACAGGAGATCTGGCAGTGGGGTATGTGGGAACTCTCTGTACTACCTACAAAGTTTTGGTAAATCAAAAAACTATTTTAAAATAAAAGATATTTAGAGAAAGTATTACAAAGCACCCATATGTCAGAGATCATTCTTAGCCTGGAACTTACCCCTCTGAACTGAAATGTTTCTACATCTGTCGCCCTGCAGCCTGGGAGCTCCTGGGCACCGTGCTCCAGGTGACCTTGTGCATCCCACACCCAGTGCGGGCCCTTGTCTGGAAATGGTGCGAGTAGTGATGAATGACTGAATCCACGGACACTGGGACCAGCCAGACTTTTCCTTAACCACGAGACACCGGGCACCCAGGAAGTCCTGAATAGGCCCTTGGCACTTGATGTCCTAGACACTGACAGCAAGTTTAGGAGCAGGCCTGGAGGCAAGAGCACTGTGTGCAGCCCCTGAAGCCTGTCCTGGGCTGAGGTCTCAGCACGCTCCTTGGGTCCCAGCAAAGCTATGCTGAGATAAAGCTCAGCACAGCATAACAAAGAGCTTTCTAACCAGGACAGATATTAAACAAAACAAAACAGAACAAAAACTTGGAGGTAGTGAGCTCCTCATCCCTGGAGGTATGTGAGCAGAGGTTGAATGGCCCAAGCTTCTGACTCAGGCTTTGCAAAGGCACCTTGTCTGGGGACCTCCCTACAGGCCAGTGACCAATGACCCACAGAGAAGGTCCAAACTCTAAAAGGTATTCAGTGATGAAGTCTAATCCCTTCCATTTTGCAGATAATAAAACTGAGGCCCAGAGAAAGAGAGTGACTTCCCCAAAATCACACAGCACCCCATGATGTTGCTCAGCAACGTCCACCTCCAAACCTGACGCAACTTCCTTGGCCCCACCCTGGCCGAGGGAACCCAGCCCTAGCCCACAGCTGTCTGAGACCTGCAGACGGGTCACCGCATCTGTAAAGGCCCTCGGTCAGCAGAGTCAGGTTTCAGGCAGCACACAGGCTGACCAGGTGGGAGGTGGGAGAGGGGGCCCTGGGGTTGCAGCAGGGTGACCAGAAGGACCGAGCAGCACGGGGGCCACTTACCTAATGGTGTGCTCAAAATAGATGTCGTCCATGGAGGCCGTGACGCAGGGGCAGCCAGCGTGCCTCTCCGCTGGCATCGGGAGAAGAAAGCCGTGTGTCAGCAGCCGCCCTGGCACGCAGGCCTCTGCCCGCACCCCACCCCCTCCCCTCTCTCCACCAGTCACCACACCCTGGCCCCACTGCACATCAGGGTTTCGTCTGTCTGGTGTCTCCCCTTCTGCTAGACTGCAAGTTACTCCAGGGCAAGGCTTTTTGCCTGTCTCCTTCATGGCTGTGCCCCAGTGCTGGACAGTGCCTGGTGCTCAGTAGGCACTCAGCTACTCAGTAAGTAGCTGTTGAATGAATGAACGATCACGCCATGGTCCTCTATGTCGTGGCCTTGTCAGGTACAGGGCCTCTGCCGGTCAACCTCGCCCTCCTTTGTTTCCTTGTCTGAGTCACTCTTACCCTCAGACTTGCTCACGTGCCTTAGTCCCTCTGGAATCCCTTCTCTGTCCCCAGGGCGGGGTCAGGGCTTCTGGCCCATTCTCCCACAGCCCCACTTCCACCTCCCTTTCCCAGCCCCCTCAAACAGTGCTGGGGGGCAGTCAGTCACCTGTCTGTGCCCCACCAGACTGCGAGCTCCCTGTGGGCTGGGGAACACTGGGCCACCGGAACACAGCAATGAGCTTGGTCAGCTCCACTCCGCGGAGGGAGCACTCCAGGGCAGACAGCGGGCTGCGCTCATAGCACCCTCAGGCCAGCCTGGGGGTAGCCACCACCAGGGCCCTGCTGTGTTGACAGGGACACGCTGGTACAGGACCAATGCACACAGCTGTGCGGGTTTCAGGAGGGAGGGTCGGCCTGAGCTGAACCCTGAGAAATCAGAGAGGGCACCTCAGGCAGGGGGAGCAGTACGTGCAAAGGCCGGGCCGAGGGCCAGGTGTGGCACTGGGGGGACAGTGACCAGCCCTGGAGGGAGGCCGGCCACCGGGCGGCTCACCGGACAGGCAGGCGGCAGTGTCGATCCACTTGAGCAGCTGGCCGACGCTCAGCTCGCCGCGCTGGTTGGTGTGGCAGGGCAGCACCAGCTGGCTCATCTGCACCTCCGTGGGGTTCCGGTAGCCCTCGCCGGCCGCCATGGCGCCGCCGTCCTTGTCGGCGCGGGAGGCCGACTTCCGGGCCGAGCGGCTGGAGAACACGGAGGAGAGGCCCTGGGCCGGGCAGGGACGAGGAGGTCAGCTCGCTGCCCGTGTGCCCGTCCCGGAGACCTGAGGGCCGCGCCCCAGGGCCACCTCCCACCACGCCCCCCTCCCAGAGCGGCCGCCACCCTCCAGCGCAGGGTCTCAGCCCAGGGGATCCCTGGAAGCCACTTACGCCCAGTTTCCTCTTGGCCAACGACTTCATGTTAACACAACCTCGGACTCAAGGACGGGAGGGGAGGGGAACCGTGCAGAGATTCAGCCCTCCTCCCTTCAGCTTGTGGGCCAGCTTTTTAAAGTTTCACCTCTGCTTTACCCTCACCCTAGAAAGATTGTCCCTCTGGGCAGGGAGGCCTGGTGAGCCCTCTAGCAGTGGCTCTGGGGACTCATTGGACAGTGTCTCAAGAAGCAGCTCCTATTTCACCCCGCGAGGGCCCCTTCCTTCTTCAGATGACATTAGCAGCAGCGCCTCCAGGGGGTGCCCATCTCTCTCGAGCACTTGGCTCCCCTGCCCGGGAGGGCCCTGGGCGGTCACTGACCAGCTGGCTGACCCCGGGCAGGGCTGCAGCAGCTGCCAGCTGGAGAACAGCAGAAAAAATTCTCAAACTCATGTACGCAAACTGAAACCAGGCCGAGTTTCAGCTCAGGGCCCAGCCTGTCTCACCCCCGGGCAGCAGGGGTGGGGGGCTGGCAGCCCCTTGGGAGGGGTGGGGTGGGGGCAAGGAGCCGAGCTGCCATGCCGTCTCTCTGGCCTGTTCCCCCTGCTAAGACTGTGAACAGAGCTGGGTGCACCTGCATGCGTGGGACAAATGACAGGAGGGGCAGGCACATGGGTTCCAGCTCTCATGGCAGTGCCAACTGTGGTGATGACAGTCGCTGCTAGCTTTTCTCCAGCACTTATTAAGTATCAACAGTCTTCTTAGCACATTACATGGACTAATTCACTTCTATCCACATAACAAACCCCTGAGGTAGGTTCATTATTAATTTCATTTAACAGATGAGGAAACCGAGGCCCAAGTAAGTGGCAAAGCCCAGCTGCGACCCCAGAGGTCTGGCTGCCGAGTCTGAGGTCCCACCCGCCACACTACACTGCCTGCAGGGGCTCCTGGGCCCAGGCCTGCACTCAGCAGCAAAGAGCGCCACGACCAGTCCTGACCCCGCCACAGCTGCAGGATGGGGCAGTGACGCGCAGGGCAGCGACAGCTCTCATGCTGGGGTCTGTCCCCCCTGAATAATTCCTCCCATGAGGCTCCCGGAGATCATTCAATAAATTCAAAACATGCTACAGGTGACCTGTTCAAGGTCACTGACCCCTGAGTGGTAGGACTGGGATTTGAACAAGGCCTATCTGACCCAGAACAGCTTGTGGGTTCCCAGAGAGACAGCTCACTCCTAAGAGCCCCTGGGTGCCAAGCCCAGCATGAGCACCAAGGGGAGAGATGAGGGCAGCGGCCCCAGGAGCTCTTGGCCAGGGTGGAGACCTGCAGGCTGCCAGGCTACCAGGCTTGCAGGCTCTGGCAGGCAGCTCACAGGCCGCTGCGGTCCAAGCAGCAGGACCCGTCACCATGGTAACCACTGCCACCGCATTTCCAGCCTGGTGTGCATGGGGGCCTGTGTGGATGTGGGTTGGGTGGCTGGCTTTCTGGATGTGGGAGACTGTAGAGGGAGGAGGCGGGCAGACGCTGTTCACCCACACTCTTCTCAAACCCCGGCCACAGCCAGGGGTTCTGCACAGAACATTCCAGAAAGGAGCGCTGGAGAAAGCTAGGGAAATGGGGGAGACAAGATGCAGAGGGAATGCGGGCAGAAGAAAGGGAGCAGACGTGCGGGGTTTCTGGGTAGTTCTGGATGTGCAGGCAGGGAGGCCCCACACACGGCGTCCCAGCTTTACAAGTGATTTTCACATCCACCGCCTCACCAGTCCTCACAAGGGAGGCAGAGGGGGAGGGCTGCTGACCCCGTTTTACAGATCAGGGAAGTGAGGAGCAAAAAGCTCCGCCCCCGGCCAGCAGTCAAGACACTGAGTTCTAACCCTCTCTCTGCTTCTTACCTGGTCAATCCCCACGCCCACCAGCCTCCTATTTCCTGTTCTGTGAAAAGGAGCCCCACTTTCCTCATGGAGACAACATGCCTGGAGGCAGGATCTTTGCCTTGTTCATTCATTCACTCACTCGTTCGTTCATTCAGGAGCACCTCTTCTGTCCTGGGCCCTGGGTCAAACACTAAGAACACAAAGAAAACTGGGCCCATCCCTGTGAGAAGCTCCTACTCTAGTGCTCATGCTCAGAAGGACCTGGCACACAGTAGGACCTCATCAAATGTTTGTGGAGGGACCACAAGAGACAGCCTTGAGTTCAAATCCTAGCTTTCCCTCAGGTGCTACCTGATCCTGAGGAAGGCTGTTCCCTCCTGAGCCTCAGCTGGCACTCACTAGGCAGGGGCAGAGGGAGACTGACAATCCCCAAGTTACCCCTGCCCTGGCTCTCAGGTTTCCAGTGAGGAAGACAAGGAGCCTGTCATCCTGTCAGAGAGGAAATACTGAGCCCCTCCGAGCAGGGCTGTGCTCCTACCCCCCCGGGCAAACGGAGGGACAAGCCCCACTGTGGCTGCCCCTCCATTCCCCTCAAAGACAGGGGCACGGGGCCCCTGGGCCAGAGCACAGGGAGGGCGGCAGAGCAGCACAGGTGGTCCGAGGCACAGCCTCTCAGACTCCAGCTCCTTCCCTGGCTCCAAGGAGATCTGCCCAAGTCCGGGCAGCCAGGCCAGGCCTCCTAGTCCCAAGGTGGGCAGGCAGCCAGCCCGGGGGCCAGGGGTGTGTGCGGCCCAGGCAGGGTTTGGCCAATGGGGCCCCAGAGCCAGGCCACTCCTCCCAGGACCAGTCACGTGGAGAGCAGGGGCCCTGGACAGAGTCAGGCTGAACCAAGATAGCTGACGGGGAGAGCAGAGCCCGCTACGAAGGTGAGGAGGGCATCTGGGGGTCAGCGATGTGCCCTCTCAGCTGGCAGCCATGCCAGGCGCTGGCCCCAGGCCATAGCAGACCTGCCAGATTTGATAATCCCAGGCTAGGCCTCAGCTGGCCACACCATGGCCTCTGTGTCCTTCTTCCAGGGCCAGAGCCATGTCATAGACCTGCTGGGTCAGAGCAGGAGGGGCCACTTCTCCCAGTCCCTTCACAGCTGGGGAGACTGAGGCACACAGAGGGACAGGCTGGTCCGGGGCACACAGCTGGGAGCCAGGATGAGCCCTCCTGGGCCAGGGCTCCTTCCAGGCAATTTGACAACAGCGCCATCCACAGACTTCAGCCGGGTCTCCTCCCTCCCCCAGGAGCCAAGTCCCCGTGATCCCACCCCCTGCAACTCCCAGTCCACACCCGGCCGGGACGCGCTCAGGCCCGGCCCCACCAGTCCACTGGACGTCTCCACGGCCTGTCCACAAGCCTCCAGGCTCTCCCCCTCCTTCTGACCTCCATGCAGCACCAGGGGGCACTTTCCCAAATCAAACCCACCAACTCAGCAACCACCGCTTACTGCATCCTGCTTCTCAGGGAGACCAGGGCCAGTCCTCATGACCCCTCTCATCACGGGACTTTGCTCTGTCCCTTAGGACTACACAGACCTTCTGAAGGGCAAGCTTGACCAGGCACCTCCCCTGCTCAAGACTCCTCGATGGCTCCCGTCCACTCTCGGGATCTAGGCCCTACTCTAGCTACTACCACTCTAGCTACTACCTAGCTCCTGCCACTACCCCCCGCAGCTGCCCTCCCAGCTCCAGGCCACACACAGTTCCTCAGAGCACCACTCTCGTGCCTGTCTGTTCCTCTGTGGCCCGGATGCTGCTTCTGCCTAGATCCCTTTACCTGCCCTGTCTGCCAGGTGAGTCCTCCCTTCTCCCTCTTTAAACCCCTATCCCAGCTCTTCCCAGGGTGGGTTGGGGCCGCCCTGCCCCGGCGGCCTTGCCTGTCTCCATGACAGCATTGACCAAGCTGCGTGGTCACTGTGTCATGGCCACCTCCTGCAGCAGACATGCTTCCCACAGGACAGGGACGGACTCAGGCCTGCCATGGAGCAGGTGCCGAATAAATGCCTACAGAAGACAAAAAGAAAGCAAATGGCTAGTGACAGGGGCAGCCTTGGAGCTGAGACCTGAAAACAAGGATGGTCTGGGGTGCAGAGGACTGGAAGCCGGCAGGGCACAGAGAAGCAGGTTGGACAGCTCTAGGTACCTGTGCGGGTGGAAACACCGGGAGGGGTGCCACGCAAGACTCGGAGGGGCGTGGCCTACAGCAACTGGCCGGGAAAGGAGCCCAAGAGCCCACCTTTGGGAACAGCAGGCCTAGAGCAGGGGAGGCCCCCACCCTGGCGGGAGCAGCAGGCTTCAGGGACCTCTCAACTAACCCGCCGTGGCCAGCTGTGCACAGGCCCTAGGGTTGGCCAGGCCTGGGAACAAGTCCGGCTCCAAACTAACTTGTTAGCTGCTCAACTTTAGTGGGCCTCAGTTTCCTCGTCCGTAAAAATGGGATTGTAATACTTACCTCCAAGGGTCACCGTGGGATGAAATTAAACAAGATCAAGTGTTAAAGCCACTAGCACACGCCTTCCATATGACTAACACTCACAGGGCTCTTACTGTTAGCATGATAAAGCTGAGTGTGGGCTTCCTGCAGAGATACAGCTGGGAGAAACCCAACACAGTTCACATGAGCTGTTTACACAGCCCTCGCTCGCCGTGAGTTCACCACAACCTCGCGGTGAAGGGCCAGACCAGTAGCCGGTTCGAGAGGGTCTGAGACTGCAAAAGGCCAGTGAGAGTGGAGCAGAGATGCAAGCCCAGGGTGAGACTGCAGAGGCCACGTTCCCTCCTCTCTCCCACCCCACTCCACCGCCTCTCCCCCGGGGAATGGGGCCTGGTTGTCAGGGGTAGGCCCCTCCGAGCAGCGTGAGGGAGCTGCCTACACTGGATGCCCCATCCTCACAAGGGTGGCTCCGGACTCTCAGAGAGACCAGGACAGG